ACCCACCCATCCATCCATCCATCCATTCATCCACCTATTCAGCCATCAATCTATCCATCCATCTACCCATCCATCTATCCACTCATCCATCCATCCATCCATCCACTCATCCATCCATCCACCATCCACCCATTCATCTATACATACATACATACATTTGTCTGTTCATCTATCTGCTCATGACTCATTCATCCATCTATCCATCCATCCACCCTCCACCCATCCATCTGTCCATCCGCCCATCTACCCACTCATCCATCTATCAGCCCATCACCCACCCATCCATCCACCCACCCAGCCATCCGTCCATCCATCCATCCAGTGCTCAACGTACATCCCTTCTGCCAGCTCTTTGTGGGTCCTGGGCATCCAGCGACACACAAGATGAACCTGTCAGGCCTCCTTTCTCAACTGGCTGATGTTCTGTGGTGGAGGGCAGAGGGGTGGGGGGTAACCACAGACAAGAACAGCCACGCTTCAGCGAGAGATGGGAAAAAGGATGCCTGAGGCTTCTTCACACTGAGGGGCAGAGCGCCTTCTTGGAGGACAAGAGCTTTATGCTGAGGTTGAAAGTGGGCAAGAAGCCAGCACAAGGGCCATGCCAGCTCTCTGTAGGCAGGCAGCCACAGCATCCACAGGGCATTGTGTACACTGAGCTCACCCTGGTCCAGTTTAGCCAGAAGCTGCTTAGCATTGCTGAGCTTCCAGCGGCACCAGCATCTCCCAGAGCTTGTTAGAATGCAGTCTCAGGCCCCGCTGCAGACCCAGGGATCAGAATGTGCACTTAGCAGACCCCCGGGAGTCCTGTGCAGGGAGGGAGCCCTGGAGACCTCTTCTCCAGCCAGGCACTTCAGTCGGGGACAACAGCGCCCCCAAGGTGTAGACACTGGTTCTTGAAGGGCATGAAAGATGTCCACTGGGACCTTTGTGAATCATCATTAATTGGTTCCAGAAGGCCCCACAAGCACCAAAAATGACGAGACCCAACCAAATCATTTTGGCTGGAAAGGCTCGCAAGTCACAAGGCAATTGACACCAACAAGGTCTAGCGTGCACACTGAGTACCAAGCAAATGTGAGCACAGGGATAACACTGTCAAGTCAAAACCCATCAAGTACCACATTCTGTGAGTTTCAAAGCAGGGGCATTCCCAGGGCCAACGACACTTCTGTACAAAAAGCACAGACATGCAGGGAGCATGGCCACAGAGACACTGTCGGGGGCACCAGGGAAACAATGGCTAAAAAGGTTGGGGGACAATAACCAAAAAAAGTCCAGACGCACGGAGGACTTGGGCAGGGCCAGCCTGAGAGGCTGGGCATCTGCTGTGCCCCCAGAGCTGGGGGAGGGGAGGGGGCAGCAGGGCGATGAGCTGGGGACACAGCTGGGAGCCAGCTGCGGGTGAAGAGGCAGAAGGGGGTGTGGCCGCAGTCAGAGAGATGCGGACAGGTGCAGGGGCCACTGAGGACGTCTGGTTAGATGGTCTCAGCAGTTTCAGGATGGACCGTGCAGCCAGCTAAACAGTGGCTCTCAAAAGAGATGTCCCTATCGAGACCCCCACAGCCTGTGACCTTATTTGGAAAAGACATCTTTGCAGGTATGACTGAGTTATGGATCTCAAGACGGCATCGTCCATGGCCCCAAGTCCAGAGGCCACTGTCGTCAGAAGACACCCAAAGGACAGGCACACAGGGGGAAGGCCACACGAAGCCAGGGCAGGGATGGAGTGCTGCAGCCACAAGGATGTCCCCAGGAGCTACAGGGACAGGAAGGGCCCTCCCTGGAGCTTCTGGGCAGGCGCTATCTGGGACACCCTGATCTGAACTCCTGACCTCCAGGACAATGAGAGGATGCATTTGTGCTGTTCTAAGCACCCCAGCTTGTGGTCAGTTATTACAGTGGCCACAGCACTAGCTGTTGCATGTAGACATCACAAGGTTAAGTCTAGGTGGGCCCCATGCCAGCCCTGGTCTTAATAAGGTCTCTGCTATGGACCCCAGGAGGAAGCTGGGGAAGGTGACTTAGATTCCTGGTGCCAACCTCAGTTCACAGGGCATCTCAGTCCCCCCCAGTGTCCCGCCCTGATTCCAAGGGGCCCCAAGTCTGAGCAGAGGGGCTCCCTACGAGAAGGAAGAGCAGAGTATGGGTGAAAGAGGCTGAGCAGGGGCCGCTGATGGTGGGGCCGATTAAAATGCATTCAGCTTAGATTTTGGAGAGCTGTTTCCAGAATGTAAATATCATACACACTTGTCACTAAACATGTATTTACTGTGATGACACAGAATTCTTGGGCAGCCCAGTGCACACTCGGTGTGTCCTTAATAGCCCCACTTAATACATGGCCCCCAGCTACGGGCACCACAAACCTCCCATCCCTGTGGGCTTGAAGCGCAGACCGGGCAGGGGGCATCTGGAAGCACTGACGGCAGGCTTCAGGCACCTCAGTGTTCCTCGTCTGAGTCCCAAAGGAGGTGGGCACCAAGCACGCCGTAAGTGTCGTTGCTGATTAAACAGCAGAAACTGCTCATCCTCTCTAGGAAGCAGGGGCACGTGGGTTAGAAGAACAGCACATTCGCAAGTTGTAGAGTTCTGAGACTGGGGCTTCGGGGCCCTGCTAGGAGGAGCAGGGATCCATCCGCAGGAGAAGGCAGGGTTCTGGCAGGGCCACCATCGACGTGGTCTCTCAGGCTCGGTAACACAGCTCTGCGAGATCCATCCCAGGGAACAAAACGGAAAGGAAAACTGCAAGCCTGAATTTTTTATGGCAGCGTCAGTACTGGGATGGCTGAGTATCAGAGGGAATCAGCTCCAGGGACTCAGGTGCAGCCGTAAGAGAAAGGACGATGCAGGCTACGTGACAGCCGGGGAAACTGGACACGTGGTTTCCAAGTGGAAAGAGAGTGCAAAACTTTATTTTCTGTCTACAGCGCTGGAAGAATGTCAGCATAAAAAAGAGAACATAAACAAAGCAAGTGATTGCGCGGTGGGAAGGGAGGTGGGAGAAGTTTCTTGAAATGACTAATGTTTCTGCGTGCATTTTTAATAAAGGCAGGAAACGTCCGGGTATAGAGATGGTGATGAGGGAAGGGACGTGGAAAGTTAAAAGCTGTTGATTTGCTTTGGGGAAAAACTAAATTTAGACCATGCACCAGGCTAGGGCTGTTTTATGTTCTCCCTCACTCCCTCCATCTGCACAGCCTCTCCTCAGAGTTGTTTCATCCCCGTTTTACAGATTAGGGGACTGAGGCTCTGGGAGGAGGAGCCTCCCACCCCCTGGGCTTCCCCACCTGCCTCTGATGAGTTCCACCTGGTGCCGGATAATACAGAGCCCCAGGCCCAGGCTACAGGGCTGGCCACGCTCAGCCACCCACTTGACGAGAATCCACAGCAAATGTGAATGGTACCCTGCACGTCTGTCAGCGTCGATGCAGAACACACTGGAAGGAGGCTTTGCTGCTCAAGCAACAATCGGTGGTCTCATTTTCTCCATCCCCAGCCCCAGAGAGAAGCTGCAGAGCAGAGGAGCCCAGCATTCCAGAAGCTCGTTCTGTCCTGACCCACAGCAGTGGGCCAGGCAGACGAGGGAGGTGAGGGGTTTCCCTGGGAGGACGAAAGGGGTTTCCACCTTCATCCACTCATGGCCAGGGGTACTCATCTCTCTGTCAACCAAGTGTGTACTTAGCATCAAGGGGACACCCCGCGCCTGCCCTGCCCGAGAAGCAGTGACCCCGAAACCAACCCTCAAATATAAATCCCCAGAGAAAAGCCAATGAGACTGCACCGGAAGTTAACACTTGCACCATTGCTGCTCCCTTTGGGAAATGGGGAGCAGCTGCACCCGAGCCTGGAGCGGCAAACTCAAGTCTCTGGGTCCCAGCCATGGAGCGGGAGCGCAGGGCTCGTCCTGCCTCCTGCACCGAGGAATGCAGCCCAGGCCAGCCCCTTTAACTGTGGACAGTGATGGAATTGGAGGGACAGCTGTGACTGGGGGTGAGGCCACAGCGTGCGGAGGGGGACCCAGGAAGCAAGAGTGGCCTCATTAGCACCGTAGGGGACCAGGCATTGCTGACTCAGGGAGACACGGTTCCTTACACAGCAAAGACCCAACTCCAGGCACCACTTCCACGACTTCCTGAAGCAGCCCGGCGATAGCTCCGTGAGTCACACACGGAGTGGACCTCAGACCCCTTTGCTGAAAGCAAAGCCGACAGCCAAGAGTGACCCTACCCCGGGTTGCACCCCACAAATCAGAAATCCTCATGGGCAGGTGTTCTCCAAATAGGGGAACATTAAAAATGAATGAATTCTACTTGAGAAGCACATACTGGAGACCCAAATGGCTGCACCCAGGGAGCCGCAGGAGGAGGAAGCAGAGCCCCTGTGGGACGACGCTCCCAGCCCACACACCCTCCACGCAGAGGCGACCGCAGGGCTGAAGGCGTAATGACAGAAACGGCCTCGCAGAGCCGCCTTCTCCCTCCGGCAGGCGACATCAAAGGTGCCTAGTGTTCTTGGGCCTGGTTCACACTGCACAGGAAGAGACAGCCCTGCAGTCGCTGGGTTATTTGTTTGCCCAGGATCTCTTCAGCTCAGGAGCCCGGGAGAAAGAAATATCTCAACAATGAGGCCAGCAGGAGCCCCCAGGCTGCAAGAGCCCTGCTCAGAGCCCCAGCTCACACGGAAATCGGGCACTGACCTGAATTCATGATCTGAACCCTTCTCCTCCCGGGGGAAGCAAAAGGAAGGGAGAAACAACAGAAAGAAAGGAAAAGCAGCAGAGAGGCCCTAGGGACTGGGTCCATCTGCCGAGGACACTGGCGCCCGCTGACCACACCCCTCGTCTGCTTTCAACGGCTTCACGCTTTTTGCAGACAAAGGATAGTTGCAAGGCCACCAAAACACAGAGGCTGGGACGGCCGGGCATGTGGGCCTTTGTCCTCAACCAGGAGCGCGAGACCACGCACAGTATAGGAGCGAGGCCACCTCCTGGGCTGACTTACCGCCACAGGGAACTTTCCAGGACCTTCCCCATGTCTGCGTGGTAGTACTTCGTCAGGATCAAGATCACCTGTGGGTTGACAGAAGGGAAAAGGTGGATATCAGTGGGTTCCCAAGCTCCCCAAGATGGACAAAAAGACCAAGCCCCTACCCTTCACTCAGGCTCTCTTAAACAGCAGCTGTCCCAGGGCACTTGTACCACCACACTTAGATGCAAAATGTGTTTCAGCTCAGAAAGCTTGAGTCTGCTCTTCAGAATGACTTTGGGGACAGCAAAATCCTAGGAGAGCCCCCTAGTCATTGCCACTCGGTGGGAACCATTCAAACCCAGCCCCGGACAATCTCAAACTGTGTCCACAGGGACAGGGGAGAGAGCCTGTGTGAGCACCAAACACACTTGTCAGGGGCCATCTCCGCCTGCAGGCCCCGTGCCAGCTGGAAGGACGTGGCTGCTGAAGCTGCCGGCCGGCCAGGAGTGAGTGGGTCCTTGCGCCCTGTGCTGCCGTTCCCCTCCCCCAGTGGGGCTGACAGCACAGCCGATGACAGGGCGGGGAGGCGGGTGAGGCAGCCGAGACAGCCGGAGGGGCTCCATAAATCATCCATGGCACACGCACACTTTTATTTTGTTGTTAAACTATTCCACACGCGCGCGCAGGACCCTGCGTACCAAAGCGGGGCAGAAATGCAACTGTTTAGAAAATGAAAATAAATGTGTTTCAGAGCGCTCTGACGTTCCTCAAAAGCAGCGCATGAACACAAATAAATAAATACGGGCAATGAGGATTCGTCGGCCCCGGTGGGAAAAAAGAGATTGATCCCCAATTACTTCACTAGCCGCTGAATTCTCGGGGACATCAAATTTCATTTCACCCGCTGCCACTCTGAGTTAGTGGTTCCTAACGGTCCCGTTGCCATGGGAACCCCGGGAGGTAAAACAGGACGCCCTCTCGGGCTCCCAGCGTGGCTGTTAGCCTGGTTAATTTGGGGTCACCACACTGGCCATCTCCACCCCTCTGGCTTCTCCGAAAAAGCAGAGGTTGCCCGGTGCTCAGACTAGGGGTGTTGCAGTCGCAGCCAGCAGCCTGGCTCCTCAGCGGTCGCCCTTTCCCCGGCGATTAGAGTGGGGAAGACGGGAGGAGAGGATGTCAGCCGATTCGGGACAGTGTGCCGCTGAGAAGCAGGGATGATTAGAAAAGAAAAAAGCGAGGCCTTGTCAGTCAAGGCAAGGTGGCGCTGCCTTACTCGGGAACAAAGCGATTTTCTCTCCCAGCTCCCAGTCTGCGGAAGTCAAACCAGGGCCTCTGGAGATGGAGGAGGCAGTGGAGTGACAGGCCCTGGACAGGTAGGGGACAAGGGTATTTTTAACCTATTGATTTATATTTTATATGGTCTCGCTGTCCCCAGAGAGGCTTTCATGGAGCCAGAGCGTGACAGCTGGAAGGAACCTCAAAGTCTGTTTTATCCGGCACCATCCAAGATGAAATCATCGCTCCATCAGCCAGGGCCCAGGCTCCGCTCCAGGGCCTCCGGGGACGGATGGGCACTCGTCCTCTCCCCGGCACTCTCCCCAGCTGCTGCGGGCTGCTGGGCTTGGAAGCTGGCCCCGGGGAGGCGAGCTCATCTGGGAAATCCTGCTACGTAGGCCAGCTCTGCGGCCAGGGATGATGACTGAGCAAGGAGTCTGGGACGACTTCCTGCCAGCCGTGCCCACCCTCTCATTGGCAACTCCAGCAGGCCTGGCCTCTGCGCCGGCTGGGACCCTCTTCCCCGTCTCCGGGCTCCGCCTGCTCAGCCCTCTGCTCTCAGCCTGCAGGAAGGGCCCTACATGGGTCCAGCACCCATCAAACTCCCCTCATCCCAGCCCCCTCCCCACCCCCACGCTGTCCCAAGGGACCCTGCTTGCCAGGTGGAGACCATATTTTGTTCCGTGTCCCCTGTCAGGCGCAGTACTCAGACCCCCTGTAGGAAAGTAGCCAGGTGCTTTCGTCTCAAGAACAAGGAACACATGGAAGCGGGATAGGGCACCGCCCCAGCCCCAGCCTCAGTCCCACATCATGGTCACCTCCTTCCACCAGGAGGACATGCTGTCCCCTCCCCACACGGGGCGGGGGGCAGAGTCGCTCTGCTGGAACCAACCCAGCAATGTAAGCTGAATGGTAGTTAGGGTCCCCAAGCCCGAGGATTTGGGTCATCCCTGCCTGAGTCTGCAACAGGAAGCCAACCAAAGGGACTGCAGCTGGACAGCAGGCAGCCCCGCCAGTCCCTCACTCTGCTACGGAGGCAGGAAGGACCCTGATGTGGGTCGGACACCCGGATTCCACCCCTGGCTCTGTAAACATCCCTCTGAACCCTCGGTCGCCTGCTCTCGGGGACCCAAGGCCCAAGCTGCTGTGCGCGGCACTGGTTATGGGGCTCATCCACTGTACCCCTTCCCGTGCCAGAAGCCCCTGAGAAAGCTCTTCCTCTCATCCCCGTTTTGCAGATAAAGAAACAAGCAGGGAGTGCGGAATGTTTTGCCAAAACCACCCAAGCAGCAGGCGCAGAGCTGAGACTCGCCCTGAGCCTGGACGCCGGTTCGGCTGCTTGCCGCCCTCCACAAAGCCTGCGTCTCCAGGAGGGCTGCGGCGGGTTCACAGAACAGCAGGGGGCCGTGCCCTTCTGGGGTGCTTGGCCAACAGCCTTGGAAATGACATCTCCCCCAGGAGCTTTGATCTGGGTGAGAGAAGATCCGAGAATGTGGGTGGGGTACCAGCATGCGGCCAAGTCGAGGGTCCCCTCCCACCTCTGCCCAGCCAAAGCCAGCAGCCACGCCAACCCCAGGAATCCCGCCCAGATGGCCCAGAGCCACGGGTGCGGGGGGGACACGACCCTGCCCGAGGGAGGCCAGGCCCCGGCGGTCACTTCTTACTGTCTGTCATCAGCGTCTCAACTCCTGTCCGGTCCTCCTCGCCCCAGGGTAGCAGTGCCGGGATCTGTCCTCACTTTGTAATGAAAGACTGGCTCACGGCGCCGGGTGCCACCCCCATCCCATCCCGAGCCCATGTTCCCCATCCCACATCACTGCATGAGACGGCTGAGCGAACCGAGGCTCGGTGTGAACAGCCCACGGCAGGGCCAGGAGCCTCTTGGGTCCCAGCTGGGCTCTTGTGACTTTGCTGTCTGTCACCGTCCCCAGGTTCCATGATCCCCCTTCTCAGCGAGGGACACACAGAAGCTGGGACCTCCTGGGGCACCATCCCCCAGGTCTGGCCAGCAGCCCTCCACCTGCAGCCAACCATCACCCAGGCAGTGAGGCCCTCAGGGCGCTGGACAGAGCAGGTGGCCCCCACTGTGGTCCTGAGGCTCTGGGACAATGAGGCTTCCTGCCCAGGCCACACCCAGCTTCTACTCCCTGGGATCTCCTAGCCCCAGCCAGGCGCGGCGCGGAGGAGAGCCCGACCTTGGATGCTAACAGCCGGGTGCATGAATCAGCTGAGCCCAGCTTGGAAAGCCAGCCCGACTCCTCGCACCCGCCACAGGGCCCCCTGCCTCTCTGTGCTCAACACGCTGTCCTGAGCAGAGGTGCTGAAGGGCAGCAAGGAAGTGGCAGGTCTCCCCCAAACCTCTGTGATGACAGTGACCACAGAATGCTCGTCTGTGCCACTCCACGCCTCAGACAACGCCTCACGCAGCCCTGCACAGGCATGCGGCCGGGGACCTCGGCCCACAGGACCGTCTGTGAAGGTGACCCCATGCAGCTGTGAGGTTGTGGGTGACAGCTGCACCTTGCAGGGCCATATCGTGTGCCCTCTGCATCCCCTCCTTCAAAGGACCCTGCAGGACACCGAAGTTGAAAGACCCAGAGTCAGCAATGCCACACCCACCAGGGAGCTGTTCTGGAAGTCACCCCGCAGGGCTGCCCTTAGGACCACCGCACCTCCAACTCCAACGGGGGACGCCTCTGAGGAGCGGAAGGATGCACTTGGCTGGCGGGTCTGTGGGGTTCTGTGTGTCCTTTGGGGTCAGCCTAGCTGCTCTGGTTAGAGCCGTGGCCAGGCAGCAGAGGGTGGACCCTTTGCAGACTTGCTTGCTCTGCCCTCCAGAGCTGGAGGTGTGGATGTGTGCCCGTGTGTGTGTGCCACAGGCCACAGAGCCACCAGTGCCTGGACCCCGTGGGCAAGGCTGCCCTCCCCTCCAGCATGGCTTTCTCCCTGGCCTTGGACCAGGAGAGAGATGCTCATACCAGCCAGTAGCGCCCAAGTCCCAGCAGGAGAACAGTAACCGTTGAAGATATTCAGATGGTGCTCAATAAATGCCCATTTCCTCCCCCAGAGAAGACCCTGTGTGGATTCTGATTGTGATGGAGGAGGCATGGCCCAGGCTGGCTGCTTGGAAGCAAGCCCTGCTCCCTGGGAGGAAATGGGATTGGATCAGCAAGGGTAAGCTAAGGCATGAGCCCAGGGAGCAGGCGTCTGTCCTTCGGTGGGACAGAAGCCACTCCAGCTGGTCCCCTCTCTAGAGGGACACCCTGACCCTGACCGGGATTTGACTCACCAACAGGGGGCAGAGTTGACCCCAGAAAGAGAGGTAGACTAAGGCCAAGACCCCTGGTGCACTTGGGTCTCACCCAGCCCAGCAGGTTGGCACCATCATCCCACTGCCCAGGGCAGAAGCAGAGGGGATAGGAGGGGGCAAAGGCCACCACAGGCCAAGGGGCAGCACAGCTGGGCTCACACCATGTGGGCCTGAGCCCAAGGCTGCAGCCTTTTCTCAAACAGCACCCCAGGGTGCCCTTCCCAGGCTTCCAGAAGCCAAAGGGGCTCCTGGGACCCCAGTGCCACCCGTGCCCCTCCCCACACCATCCTCAGGAAGGAGGCCGGGCTCAGCAGGGGCCCCGCTCCTCTGAGACTCCTCCTCCAGGAAAAAATCGATTCCATTTAAGAGACATCGATTCAGCATTTATTTACCAGGGAGAGGGATTGCACACCTCTGCTAAAGACCACTGAGGGGCAGCGGGGGCATCCACGGGGCTCAGAAGCATGCAAGGTGCAGATCCTCCTAGGGCAAGGCTGCGGTCAGCACCACGGTCCCTCACGCACCCCAGGAAGCCAATCCTGGTCCTGTCCACACTCACTCGGGCCCCAAAACTGTGGGTGTCCCTGCATTCTCCAAACTCAGCATCCACAAATGCCCAGAAAGCTGTAATCGTGAGCACGGGGCCACCCTTCAGCGAGCTGGGGTCCCCACAGCAGCCCCCTTCTCTGTACAGTGCCCAGCCCCCATCTTGGGCCCTTTGGCTGGGACTCCTTGGAACACTGGCTCCACGCCCACAAGTCACTTCGCATCTTAGACAGGCAGTGTAGACAGAATGAGCTCAGGGTGCAGTGTGTCCACAGAGAGCAAGTCCCTAGGGGCCGGGGTTGAAGGTCAGGCTTGGGGTTAGGGGTAGAGTTGGGGTGAGGGTTAGGGCTTAGGACTAAAGCTAGGGTTAGGGTTGGGTTTAGGGTGCGCAGGGCCAGAGTTAGTGCTAGGGTTGGTGTCAGGTGGGGATGAGTGTTGAGAATGGAGTTCTACGAACTGGGTGTGGTCAGGGTTCAGTTGGGGTTAGGGTCTGGCAACGAGAGTGCTGCGGGAGGTGGGCGGTTGGGGCTGGGCTTAGTGTCGTCTCCGTGAGACATGAGGGACAGGCTCTGCTGTTCCCGTGAGCCACCAGCAGTCCCAGTCACGTGACTGCACACACTGGACTACTCTGTGTGATGTGGGTTTTATGAATAAAGCCACAAACGCTCTACGTATTCCCTGCCGCCATATGTACACTGTTCACCTCCGAGCCTGTCCCCCTTTCTCTGCTGGGCCTGACCCCATCCTGCACCCGCTCAGGAGCTAAAACTCCTTGTGGGCCGCTCCCAGGAAGCCTTCCAGGGGCTTGCAGCCCAGGTAGCTGGCCTGCTTACAGCCGCTTTGCCTGCAGCCACCAGGAGCTGCAGTGTTTTGCTCCATTTCTGGGGGCAGGTGGGCTCAGAACTAGCCCCGCTGGGGGGATGCTCCTGCAGGGGCTGCCCCCCGCTTCTAGTGTCTCATCTGCACACTGGAGGAGGTGGATCCCATGTCCCGGCGCGGCCAGGGCAAGTCTGCTCCTGCCTTCAGGGGTCCTGCCCATGCCGGAGGCTTGACAAAGGACAGCACCCGCTTCCCAGGTGCCCAGGTGGCTGGAAAGAAACAGGCGCAGCCCCCAGGGGATGCCTCACGGCCCTCTGATGCCAGGCCCGAAATAGAATCCCTTTCTTCCCACGAAGTCTCATCTGGCCACTTGGCCTGGGCAGCGGGGGCCCTGCTTCAGGAGCAGCGGTGCCTGCTGCCTGCCGTGTCCCTGCTGGACCTGCGACCTGTACAGACTCCTTGCCCGTCCCCTCTGCCACGAGAGCTTGAGGCTGCCAGGAGCTGGGACAGCTGGGGACACGGACAGCTTTGGTCTCTGCAAACACAGAGGCGGCGGCTGGAAAGACCCCAGTTCAGAGCTGTTACCAAGACAGTGAGGCGGCCCGCCCAGGACAGTGAGTGACAGCACACAGGGGGGGAGCAGGCTCTGCCAGGGGCTGGGCACAGGGCTTGCAGCCCTCTCCTCAGGGAGGGACAGGGAGCCGGTGCACACAGAGGAGCTGGCCAAGCCAGACCCAAGTGGCAGCCAACAACCTGAGGGGTGCTGGGCTCCGCGCCCGCCCTGCGGTCCTGTAAAACAGCGCCACTGGGGAAGCTGAGGAGCGCACACAGCCCTCTGCTGCCCTATTTCTGCAACTTGTTATGCTGTATTGCTACTGTCATTGTCCTTTGAGACGGGATCTCACCATCTAGCCCACCCCAAGTCTGCTGTCGCCATCACCCCCTTATTAGAGAACACGGAGCTCCTCCTCGCAAGCCGACAGGGCGTTTCCATTCCTCCCCCACAGCCCTCATCCTCTGGGGGAAGCTGAGGCACAGAGGGGGAGGTTTGCCTGTGGCAGATCACACAGCCCCGAGGTGGAGGCCGGGCATCGAGCTGAGCTCACAGCACAGCCCGTGTCCATGCAGGAACAGCCCCGCCTCCGTAAGGATCACTGGAGAAAGAGCGCCTCCATCCGGCCGGGGAAACCTGGTCCCGGCCTTGACTAAACCCGTGTGCCCGCTTCTGGCCCCGCCAGCCCAGGAAACCCACACCCGCCGGCTCCCGTGTGGCTTCCGTGGCTTCGCCATGCGTGCAGAGCTGCAGTTCCGGCCACACTGCGGGCTGTCAAACACCTTGTGGGATTGAGCAGCCTGGGGCGAGATCCCTGTGAGACCTCCCTGGCTTTGCAAAGCAGTGGTTTACAGCTCCAGTCTCAGAGGGCGGCGTGGCCATATCTCACCATCCCTGGGGAGTCCCTGTCCAACCAACACAACCTTCGGCATGATCGATCGCCGAGCTCACAGACCCACCAGCGGAACATGGCCAGAAGGCCAAGAGGGTGGGAGGGGCCCCGTGCCTTGCAGCAGACGTGGAGCACCCCAGTCGGGCAGGACAGATGGGTGCCTGCCTCCAGCCTGTGTTCCCTGGCTTCCTCTTCCAGCTTGGGCCCCCTGCCCCACTCACCTCAGGGACTCCTGCCTGGAAGACTCCCGGGCCCCCTGGGGCCTGCCCCCACCTCTGGTTAGGGTTTGGCTGTCTCTGGGTCCCACAGACCCCGGGTGGTGTGGGCTGAACGGTGCCCCCAGTACACACCGCCCAGAACCTGTGACTATGACGTTGGCTGGGGAAGGTCTTTGCAGATACTGTTCATGATCCCGAGAGGAGGTGGTCCTGGATGAGGCCCTGAATCCCATGATGGGACCCTGGTAGGAGACATAAAACTGAAGGCACAGTGCAGCCTAGGCTGAGGCCAGCACTATGTGCAATAGCCAAGGAGAGCCAGGCTCCCTGGAAACCTGAGCTGCCAGGAGTGAAGCCTGGGGCAGATTCGCCCTCCGAGCTCCAGGAGGAATCAACCGGCTGATACCATGCTCTGCGACCTCCAGCCTGTCAGGGAGAGACGCTGACTTGCTCTTTTTTAAGCTGTTCAGTCTGTGTCCAGCACGGAGGCTGGCATGAACCCATTTTACAGGTGAGGACACTGAGGTTCAGCTTGTCAAAGGTAACAGCCAAGAACTGCCAGGGCTGGGGGGCCCTGGGGACTGCCTGACTCCAAGTCTGGGTTACTGCCCAGATGACTCATTTGCAGAGGGCTGCCCCAGATGAAGAGGGATGCAGGGGTCCCCCAACTGCCCCAGTTCTCCACAGCCCCTGCTCCCTCCCACCCCGAGCTGTCCCTCAGGAAGATGTGAGGGTCTCGCCTCAGGCTGTGCAGAAGAGAGATCACCAGGCCCTGTGCTCCATCGCCCGACCCCTCCCCATGTGCGAAACCAAGGCTTCAAACAGGAGAGTTGGGAACGGAGCTGGGAAAAGGCCCCATAAATCAAAATCAGTCAGCAGAAAATAAATGTATGAGTGTCCCTGATCTATGGAAAATTGCATTTTTACATCTTGCCTGTTTAAGGGACGATGTGTATTTTAATAGGTGGGTCGAGGCAGACTTTCCCACCCGGCCGTCCCTCAAAATATTATTTACTCTCCATTTCCCCCAACCTGATTCAATTTTAATTTCATCCATCACTCCCGTTAATAGTCACTGGGAGTAAAATTATTAATGAGATTACAAGATCCTTTCCTGTGTGTGTGCCGTTCCACTCAGGCTGACGCTGCTCCCGAGCCTCTGCCTGGAGTGGCGGCCCCCGGATCTGTTCCTGGATACGCCGCGGTGTCCCTGCTGTGAGCCTCCTCACATCAGACGCGCCTGTACCTCCTGGAGGTGGCTGGAGACCGTGGTCCTGGTTTTAAACCAGAAATCCCTCCCGGGCTCCGCAGTCTCCCCTCCCTGCCATGTGTCCCCCCTTCCAGAGTCCCCCTCAGAAAGAGCACTGTCACAGAAACAGCACTGTCACGTCAGAGTGGAGGAGCCTGCAAGTGGGGACAGATGCGGGCTGGCTCCGGCAGGAGGGCGAGGGGAACAGGAGGAAGAGGAACAAGCGGAGGAGGAGCCCCTTCAGGAGGCACCTTTAGGAGGGCGGGCCCAGTGGGAGGAAGCCAGGCTCCTGGGGGTGTGACCTAGAGGGGATATTGGGCCCACCCCTTCCTCCTGTCTCACTGCCAGGCACTGAGCACTTTGGCTTCCGCCATGATGGCCCCTGCCACAGGTCCAAAGCCATGAGGCCAACCCATCACTCACCGAAGCCTCTAAAACCAGGAGCCCAAGGAAACCCTGTCTTTTGCAGC